AAAAAAAAACTACTAAATTTGAGCAATTTCTGGGAAGAAGAAAATACTTTTCTCTTACATGACCTTAAAAGCTGTTAGATTATGAGACTGGGGACGTGTAGTTATGTTGTGGTTAATGGTAGATTTCAGTGAATGTCCTCAACATAAAAACATAATGAGGAAACACATATATTCTGATCAAATTCACTCTTTTTTTAATTTAAATTCAATTAGACACCATATAGTAAATTATTAGTTTCAGATGTAATGTTCAATTATTCATCAGTTGCATATAACCCCCAGTCTTGATCAAATTCACTCTTCAGCCACAGTAAATACTTTTGGGTGGGGTATAAGTGAATTACACTTTAAACTTAAAACTTTGCCACTCTTCAGAAGTAGATCACTCCCCCACCCCCAACTCCTGCAAAGATCCTTTGCTTAGTTATAGCTGATCAGTAAATACAACCCTAGGTGTGCTTTCACAAGGAAACTTGAATTTTGTACCAGAGAAGGAGATTCAGTTAACATTTTCATTCCCTAAATATGGTGAGCAAGGATTTTGCTGTATCAGTTTTTGTCTTTGAGTAACCAACTTCAGGATAGCTCATGAGCTGGTGAGTTTGGTTGGCATTTATCTGTTCTTTTCCTGTGGAAACAGCAGGAAATAAAGGCATTAAGCACGTTTTCATTGTCATTGAGCTTGGTGGCCCTTGAAGGAAGGTTCTGACAGCCTCTCTGAGGGGGGAGTTGGTTCCCTAACTAAAATAATGGCAGAAGAGGATGTCTCTGTGTGAAGGGTCCCAAAACATGGCGGGCCTGTGACTGGAAATCACTCCTGGCTGCTTCGGGGTTGGGAGTGCTCCATGGGCCATTCAGCTCTGTTCTTCTTTGCTTGCCCTAGATATCTCTTGCTACTCCTTCTTGCAAATGAAGAGGGCTGACCCCTTGGGTTGCCATCAACGAACATGGGTTTATGTGGGGATGTGTGGTCTCAGGCTGTCACCACCCCTTTTTGGAGTGAGGAGAGCTCACCTCCCCTTTGGAAGCACACTGTCTGCTGAAGGCCATTTTGCAGCTCTGCAGCCTAGGGCCGCCACTTCTCGTTCCCTGCTGCAGTTGGCTAAGTATTAAACAGACACCAGCATGAGGTACTTGTACACTAAAGAGAGTAGAAATATGGAACTGACCCTTGGCTTCTTGTTTAGCCTGTTCCCTCCATAAGCCCCAATTTATACAGAGTCAGCTTCCAGATGCATCAGGTCACTCTGCTTCCTCTTGCTATTTGCCAACATGAGGCCCTTGGGAAGGGAGCCCAGGCTGAAGACCCTATAACTGCTGCTGAGAGATATTTTTAAATGTACGCAGAGGGAGGTACTGGGAGTTCAACTGAAGCATCTCCCATTTCCCCCTTAGAGCCCTAGAGAGACCAATTCTCCTGCTTCCTACCTCCCTCCTCCCATCCCACCAAGCGCTTTCAGGTCCCAGCTTGGGTTTATTCACAATCGTGTATAATTCATGCAAGACAGGTTACAGTGGAGCATGTTACCTTTGTTATTCAAGCATGGCTCAGTAATGCTGCTCCAGATTTTGGCCAGGAAGTAGGTTTTATTGGTGTTTGGGCCTGATGTTTTCCTGTCCGGAAACTTCCCCCTTCCCTTGGCGAGGTTGTTTTGGCAAGCATCGTCAGGGAAAATCTCGCTTCCACTTGTCCAGTTGGATAAATGGGTTCCAAGCAAAAACAGGCTGTTGTGTAAATCAGAAACCCTTGGGGGGAAATGTTTGCTTAAAAGAGTTTGCATTGAGCAGTGGGGAGTCAAGACTGCCCTGGCAGACATTGCGAGTCCAAGCTGAGCCCTGGTTTTGCCAGCATCATTCCTGGTGATGGTGCAGTTAGCATCCTGGCATCTCTGGAGCTGTAGGATGTTCTGGGAAGGGAGTGCTTCCTATCTAGTTGAAGATCATCATGCTTTTTCTGACCTATTGTTTTCATACTCCCTGAAATAATGGAAGCCCTGATGCCAGAGAGCTGAGAAATGAAAGACTCTGTGTCTCCATTTATTGTGCTTTTCTGCCCTCTAGGTTTTCTTTCTTTTTTTTAAAGATTTTATTTATTTATTTGAGAGAGGGAATGAGAGACAGCAGGAGAGGGAGGAGGGTCAGAGGGAGAAGCAGACTCCCCGCCAAGCAGGAAGCCCGATGCGGGACTCGATCCCAGGACTCCAGGATCATGACCTGAGCCGAAGGCAGTCACTCAACCAACTGAGCCACCCAGGCGCCCTGCCCTCTAGGTTTTCTATAGGGTCAAGTAGAGGAAGGAGATCAGTATCTGCAGGAGAAGCTACTGAAAGCACAGAAGAGGAGGTCGTGGGTGGTACCTGAAAAATAAAAGTTAGCTCGCCAGTCAAGTGACTGGAGGGAAAGAAGGTGGAGAGGGCAGGGACAGAAGAGAGGCCTTCTGAGTGGTTCAGGTGGTTGGAGTGGAGCGTGGGCCAGGGGTGGAGGTGGGAGATGAGGCTGGGGAGGAAGGCAGAGGCAGATCCAGGAAAGCTTATATGCCATGCTAGAGAGTCTGGTTTCATCTGGAAGAGTTTTCAGGTGGGGAGTGAAATGATCCCATTTTGTGATCTCATTTCAGAGAGTTTACTCTGGTCACACTATGGGGATTGATGTAGAAGCGGTGGGAAATGCAGCAGCACGTCCAGGTGGTAAATTGTCACATGAGCCAAGTGAGAAATGGTCAGGGTCTGAACCAAGGGGGAAAGACAAACCAATGAGATGGGGGGGGGGGCTGCCCTTGGTGAGTGATTATCTGGAGCCGTGATGGGGTGGGTCCAGGCGGGCATCTAGGGGTCTGACTTGGGTGAGAGAGAGGGGAATGGTGGTGCCTTTTGGGAAAGTGGGCAACAGAGGAGGAAGAGCAGTTAGGGGGATAGAGTAGAAGATGACTTCACAGCAAACATTTGTAGAATTGGGTTAAATGGAAACCCTTATGAGCCTTCTCCTGGGTCAATGGTGTATGCTTATTTTCCTTTCAGGAGAGATTTTGGGCCTCACAAAGTGTTACCAGTGAAGTTCTACCAGCCCGACCAGTTCGTCCGAAGTGAAGAGAACATGGATCTGCTCACAACGTATAAACAAGATTATAACCCCTACCCTGTCTGTCGAATGGACCCCATCAAGCCTCGGGGCAGTAAATACCCATGTGGTGACAAGATGGAGTGTCTGCCTACTTACAAAGGTGGGAGAGTGCTTGAGGGGCAGGTTGGGGAATGATCGGCTGAGCCTGTATGCAGGCCAAGAAATGGGTTTTGCAGGTACACCCTCAGAGTGCAGGGGTCGGGCGTACTACATCCTGTGGGCCAAATCTGGTCTGCAGCCTGTTTTTGTAGAGCTGGAGAGCTGAGAATGGTTTTAAATTTTTGAATGATTAAAAAAAAATCAGACTATTATTTTAGGAAATGTGAAAATTATGTGATGTTTAAAGTTTGGCATTCATAAGTACATTTTGTTGGAGCATGGCCACACTCATTTGTTTACACATTATCCGTGGCTACTTCTGTGCTAGAGCAGTGAATCCGAGTGGTTGTGATGGAGACTCTATGGCCTGTAAGGCCCAAGACATTTAATATCTGGTCTTTTATAGAAAAGATGTACCAACCTGCCTTAACTTGCTGTTAGAATTTTACATTGGGGAAGCGTTTCAAGTTTAAGTCAAGTTTAAGTTAGGTTCCATTGCTGATTGAGTCATTGATTCATTCATCCATTTAAAAAATTATGGAAACCTAATGTACATACAGAAAAACGTACAAATCTTAATTATACAGGCCAATGAACTTTGAGTGAACACATTCCTGTAAATAGTGCCCTGATCAAGAAATAGGACACTGATCCCATCTAGGATAAACCATTATGCTGACTTTTAACACCATAAATTAGTTTTACTAGTTTTGTACTTCAGATAAAAGGGATTGATTCATTCTTTTTAAAAAAGATTTATTTATGTATTTATTTGAGAGAGGGGCTTGGGGAGGGGCGGAGGGAGAGAATCTCAAGAGACTCCATGCTGTGTGGGGAATCTGACATAGGGCTCCATCTCACAACCCATGAGATCACGACCTGAGCCGAAACCAAGAGTGAGATGTGAGATGCTTAACCAACTGAGCCACCCAAGCGCCCTGGTTCATTCTTTATTGAGCATCTGTTACATCCCAGGCATGGTATTAGGAAGCATAATGATCTGCCGTGACTTAATAGTCCTGTAGGAGAGATGGGATATGGAGTGGTAGGGACAGTGAAAGCAGTGTGGCAGTCACTCTGTGGGGCACAAGCCACAGGCTGAGACCATGGGGAGGGAGGCCAGTTTGTAGTCCTTAACTCTTCTGCTTCTGATGCACGTGGGCACATGGTTGCCCTAGGAATATATGTTCAACTGTTCATGTCACATGTTTGTGGATCCCTAAATGACTGTGCTAATAGTTGCTTTTATTTAGTCAAGCCAGACATTTAGGCAAGTGGAGGTAGGGAGGCTTGCGGGGATGTAGGAATCCTCCTGAAGCCCTTCTAGGGACTCTAAATCTATCATTCCAAAGACAGCACACATGGCCGAGCTTCTCTGCTTCTTCCAAGACCCCGGACCCTTGTCATTTTGCCACCTCATCTTTAGTATCTTTCTCTTCCATAGTCACCTTCTGCCAGGCTGCATTTTGGACATTGTCATACCCTGAAATGGCTCCTCCTTTATGCACCCCAATATCCAGTGCTCCCAGCTTGCTCTCTTAACTGTTCCCACCAAGACAGTTTTTGGCCTCATTGGGATCCCTCGTCCACTGGGGCCTCAACCTTCCATCTCCACATCAATCCCTCCTGTGTCTGTGGCCCATGTAGCCTATTCTCTGGTATATCATTGCAGCCCATCTTTTACTCTCTCTCTCTTCTGTCCTTTTGTTGCTACCTGCCAGCAAAACCCAAATCCTGCCTTCTCCATGTCTACACCTGAGTGTATACCTGAGCATGTCTCCAATCTTGTCTGCTTTTATCCATTTTCCACAGAAAGGAACCAGGGAGATCTTTTAAAAATGGCAATATGATCTGACCCCTTCTCTGTTTAAACTCCTCAAATACTGTGGTTCTTAGGATAAAATCCCAAATCTTTACCATCTCCTCAGGTACCTTGCAGATTCTGGTGCCTCCTCCCGGTGCCCCTCTGCTCTGGCCACAAGACCTTCTTTCAGTTCCTTTCCTGCATTTCTTTTCTGTCTCAGGGCATGTTGCACATGCTACTTCCTCTTTATAAAGCCCTCCACCCTTCCTCTGTCTAGCACTCCTCCTTCAATGCTCAGCAGAAATATCACACCCTTTGAAGCCTTTCTAGACCTTCCTCCATACCAGACTATATACATCCTATTAGATGCCCTAAGAGTGCCTTGTAATCCTCTGTTTTGTCATTCAGTGTGTAATTTTTGTTTTTTTTGCTTAACATTTGTCTCCTTGGCCAGGCTGTAATCTCTAAGATGGCAGGGATCTGTCTTTTTCTTTGCCAGCCATAAGGCAGGCACTGTAGTAGATGCTTTACAAAGGAGTCATTACAACCAGGTGCATTCTGGCCTCTACAGGACTCCTTTATCTCCCTTTCCATCTAGTGTTTACAGAAGGCAAGAAAAGGGGTGCCATGGACCCTAAAAAGGTAGGAAGGAGGCACAAAACTAGAGTGAGCCCTTATCGCTGATGGGAGAAGGAGCAGGGACTCCGGTAGGGTATGTCCAGCTACAAACTCCTTTCCTTCACATGCTCCTTATGGGTCCCCTTGATTTATAGTCTTGGTGGAGGTAGAGGCTCTTCAGTACAACTGCCTGCTCAGCTCAATTCCCCCTTCCCACTTTGCCCTAGGTGCAGAGAGAGGTCTGGGAGTGAGAAATGGTTTATTCGTTGCATTACTTCCCTATGAGACAGTGGCTTCCAAAAGTGGGCCTTGATAGCCCAACATATGTATTCCCATCATTTAGCACAGAGGATGGCACAGCAAAGGTATGTTTAGTGAGGAAGTAAATGAATAGTCTGGACCATTGTTTACAAGGCTCCAGGTGACACAGTTTGGCATTAGATTTATGCAACCCCCCACCCAGCCTATTATTCTGTGGGTCCTGGCTAAAAGCAGGAGTGAAGCTCAGGGAAGACCCAGGACATTTACTTTCCCCTTGGGTCAGTCCTGCAAAACCTCACACATTGTGTGAGAGGACCACACCCTTGCCTTATCGCTTGGTGTATCACCTTTCCATGACTTGTCTGTCTCTTGTGGACATTTGCTTCTTTAGGAAGTCTTTTCCATAGCAACCCTCATGGTTTTATGGACATACATTGATTCTCCTCCCAAAGGAGAAGAAAAACCGAAGTCCAAGGTCATTAAATGTGTGTATTTCAACCAGTGCCATCTATATTATGTCTCTATGTTCCACTTACTGTAGTTCTACAGGAAAACTATGCAAACTTTTTTCTTCTATTATGGTCAGCACCTTTAGTGGGGTCCAGAAAACCACCATTAAATATGCTCCAGCAGCATTTGGTTGTAATTTTGACATTTTCAAAACACTGTGCAATTGGAAAGATTGAAAGTGTAATTACTTGATGCTCAGCTTTAGGTTTAGCTAAGTTTTTTTTAAAGACATATTATTGAATGGAATCCCTTCTAAAGAGATTCTTGCCAATTACCCACATGACGCCCTGGCCCTGAAGGGCTTTACTGATGGCTTTTCAGGCATGTACCTAATTTGTCATGTGGAATTCTGAGGTATTTAGGGTCCTATGCAGGCTTTTTTATAATACATGTTGGGTGTAGGAAGTTAGGAGGTTGGATAATAATGTGGTTTTGACTGTATTGTTGGGTATCAGAAATCACATGAGGCAACTTTCAGCCTAGGAACCTGTTTTCTTAACACTTCATCCATCACAGAAGAGGGCCAGAAAAGTCCTGTCCCACCCACCCCCAGGCACCTTGAGGCAGTGTGTAGGCATCTACAGGTAGATGCCCCCATTTTAGTGAGGGCTGAAGTCTGAAAGGGAAACATGTGGTTTATATTCAGCTAGATGGTTCCCTCTAAGGCCCCCTAATGCTTTCAAGATGCTGATAGAGCCATTAATGGCTCTCAGAGAAAGATCAGATTTTCAATTAAAATGAGGCCAATTTAAAATAAATAGTTGGTAGTATTATTGGCCTAAAATAAACTTAAAAGTGTGCCTGGGGGTGGGGATGTCCACCCTTCTGGAGGGGTGGAGTGAGGAGCTCAGTAAATCCTCTTCCTAAAAAGCAACAAAAGTGGACAAAACAATAAAAACCAACCATTTTAGGGCTCTGGAAATCAACTAAAGGCACACAACAAACTGAGAAGCATTTATTCAAGAAAAATTGCTAAACCATCATTATAAAAAGTCAGAGTTTGTGGCGTTTTATCCTGGGACTCATTCCATCACCCCTCCTCCCAAGTTTGATCTGTGTGGTGGTTCTGCCTGGGTAGGCTGGGCTGTGAAAACCAGCAGCTCTGCTGCTAGTCTGGGCTAACTTGATTTGGAGTAGCGTACATACCCAGAGGTTTCAATAAAAACAATAGTGATCTCAGTAGCAAAAAACTCAGTGAAGACAACTGCAGAATTAGTTGGGGTAGGCAGCAGACCAGCCAGAAATCTAACAAGGAGATCCAGAGAATAGGAAAGGCCTTGATAAGCTCATACATATTCCTTATGGCCTAGAAGACTGCATATGGGCGAGGTAGTATACAGGCTCAAGAGAGACAAGAGACAGGGCTAATGATCTACTCATCATCCTGGTTGAAGATGATGCCTGGTCCAGGTGCAGAGGAGACATGAGAAATCCTGGAAGAAACTAAACGCCAAGGCAGAGTTGTAAATGGTCTGATCTTTGACTTTGTTCCCTAACCCACACACACATTCATTAGCAAAGGGATGAAAGCCTTACTGGCTTAAGGTGTTTAAGCATAACTTTTGATAATCATTGCCTAATTACTAAACAATGCTATCACAGGGTGACTTTCAGGAATCTTGGCTTAAAAACAACTAAAAGAAGAAACTAAGCAAAACATCAATGGTCACACACTGCTGGGGAGAAAAGACTCCATAGAATTACTGCAGGCAAGTCACTGAACAGCAAAAACAGCTTGCAGTGGGGGTGGGAACTAGCATATTATCTGAAATGGTGAGTTCTTAGCAAAAAATTATAAGGTATAAAAA